AGGGGTTGGAGATATCCAATTCCAGGGTTTTTGGGAATGGCAACCACTGTGGTACCGCTGGAATGTCTTGCCACATCCCCTAGGTATCACAGGACATCCCGGGACCGTCCAAAACAGTTCCGCGCTTCCGTCGCCGGAAGCGAGGGCTTGCTGGTTCACAAAGAATCAACGACTTGGCAATGAACCATCTGGGCTCCGCAAGCAAACCATCAGGGATGGTTAGGGCATCTTGCTGGTTCTTGGGAGATTTATTTTGGTCTTGGTTGGATTCCCTTTGGGAAACCATGCTTGAATGATCTGCCAAGTTCAGTGATTCATATCCCTTAGAACCCACTTACTGGGCTACCTCCTCTTGGACTGAGCAAGTTGTAGCCCAAGCTACTTCTCATTTGGCAGTGGGTCAAAAAATAGGGCAACCCCAAAATAAAACCCTGGTAAACGGAAACATGGACTGCAACCGTGCGCTCCCCTGGCTTAATTTTGACCACCCATTTCCTATCCTAACGGGCGCCAGGAGATTGATCCTCAAGGCCTAGGTGGCCTTTTGGAAAAGCGAAAAATTGCCCTGGCAGATGGAGCAAAAGTCAAAACCCGTGGAACCCATCTATGTTTAACCTGGGCTACCCTCAGATCCCCCGCTAAGTGATTAACTCTAGGGGGGTGATTCCTTTGCCCCATTCTTTTCAACCATCGTTCTTTTCAACAACCAGCCATTTTCCCTGGGTTTACGGAGGTTTTCTAGAAAGAAGGATCCCTGCCTGGGAAGAATGGGGAAGGTACCCCTAGAAAAACCAGTGGAACCCATGGCCCATCTATGGTTAACCGTTTGACCAAACTAACCCATCAAAAGGACACTTATGCTTCTGGGTGAATCATAATATTTCACCAACCTGAAATAAGCTGGTTCGCGGGCCATTCCCCACATAAACCAAACCACTTGGGGTGAATTCGGTCGTGAGGTCGATACACATAAACCGTTAAACCACCATTTGGGGTGAATTCGGTCGTGCGAGGGCGTTACAATTCACCCAGAAATGCTTCCAGAAATTTGCTCCCAAAGCTGCCATCTCTTTCTGGGAAACGCTGGCTTCCAAGGCCCCGCGCCAAAGGCCCCAGGAACCGCGGGACCTGCAGGTCGAACAGCGCGATCAGGGGGGGGCCCAGCGGCGAGAATTGTTTTTCGCCCAGCAGCTCTGGCTGCTTTTTGGGATGTGTCTGGGAAAACGATACTCGCATCTGGCCATCTAGGCACGGCTTCAACTTGTCTTTTTGAGAGTCGCATCGAAGTTGGGATGTAGCTTGCAACTGTCTAAGAGCCGAATTGAATCGGGATGAAGAAAAGGCGGAGGCTTAATCCAAACGTGAAACCCACGAGTGGCCTCGTAGGACACGTTGGTGTTGTGTTGTTGTGTTCCCCCAAGGAAAGGAACCGCCAGAGCCCTAACTTTGCCTTCTAGGGGTTCTCCTTGTCTAAGGCTCGTCATGTGTCTTCGCTCGCTTGACCGGATGTTTGAGCGTTGCAGCATCCCAGAATGGCCCAGCTTTATCTCAGTATTGGCCTAATGGAAACTCACAGGCGCAGTCTAAAATCATAAGTCGGTCTCCAAATTGGTAACCTCAGCATCCCTCTAATCGATGGCTTGGCTTGGCTGCGTTGGAAGTTACGGACGGGTTTCATTTTCTTACAAGAGCCAGGGATCAAATCACCAATCCAAACCACCTTTCAAATCAATTTCAAGAAGGGCACCAGGACTCAAACAAAAACAAAACCTAACAGAACGCCCGTTCTTTCCAACCCTAGGTGTGTTATTGTTGTTGCAGCTGTGCCAGTCAAAGTGAAGAACCAAGCACAAAAAATAAAGACTAATCACGACACACGTGCCAACACTGTCCTCGGGTTGCGACACTTCCTAAACTGGCGCAGACTTACTGGGTGAACTGGTCGCCCTTTTTGGCGAAGTGCTCCTTCAGGGCCCCTGATTGTGCCCTTTGTCAGCAGGAAATCAAAATGAACAAAAAATAGGGTACCCTTTTTAGAACACCGCCGATTTTCTGCCAACGACAAACGGATTCCGACAAAGGGAAGCCGCCAGTTGGACGGGTTGTTTTCTTAGGGGTTTCAATACACGGAGCCCTTACCGAACCAGCAAGTCCTTGGCAACTTCCCTGCCTGGATGTACTTGTCAATGAACATGAGCGCCTCAGAGGGGAAGCGTAATGCGTAAGGCGCCGGCAAGCCAGACTTTCCAAACTGGGTACGCTGCCGTTTTGGTGGCCATGCGGTAGATATGTAACCGTCGATGGATTGCGGGGAGCTTGTCCTCCATTGCTCGGAGAAAGGGTCGTCGCATATCGCCTGCCTTCTCTGTGGCGCTGGCGTCAAATTTTTCCAAAGTCAAGGCTGGCAGCATATCCGTACATGTATGGCAGCATCTGATCACGTGGGCGGTCTTCCAGTCCAAAGATATCTTCATGCTTCGTAATCCGGACCAAGGTGAGGCGATTCGAGTATAGCGCGCTGTCAAGCAGCTTTAGCAGTTGCCCACCGCATGCACTTGCTTCCTGCCCTCGGTGAACAATCAAACGCGGCTTCACCTTGCCAAGTATCTCGTTGACCTTGACAACTGTCATCTACTCGCCCTTCCGCAATGCTGTGTTCTGCCACGGCAGCAGGCTCGGAATGTGGTGAATTCGTTTTGAGGGCCTTGTGGTGGTGGATTCCAATTGTTGGTGGATTCGCACTCTTTGGGGGGGGGGGGGTTGTTTTGGGGTTGGGATAGGGATTCGCGAATCCCGCTTGGAGGATTCAACCGTTTGAAGGGTCCAATCGTTTGCAGGTCCCCTTTGTTTGGCACATACCCATAGCTGACACCTAAATGTCTTGATATCATGCGCGGAATTGTTGACGCGTCATTGCCATTGACACTGGACAATCAAGCGAGCGGAAAAACCACCAACCCTTGCGCCAAGTCCCGACTCATGAAAACATGACCAACCTTCAAATACACTACAAAGCGTTCAGATTCTGTTTCATACTTAAACCCAAAATACTAAAAGTATGTCCTGAGGACACTCCAGCCCTGTGTGGGTTGTCCTTCCGCCATTTTTTTTTGCAAGATCAGAATGGTGGTTGGTCAAAAACTCACTTCCTGAGTGGATTCGCCGAAAACAAGTCTGAACTGTTTGTTTACCACTAAACTGGTCTTTCCCAAAAGTATCACGTCCAGGAACTCAGGGAGTGATAGAATTACAGAAGAAAAAAAAAGTTGTTGGCTTTTGGGCAGCTCAAATCCAGCTCATCCAATAGTCCGCGTGGGGGATGTACTCCTCATACTCCTAAACAATCACATGGTTTGCTTCTCGTCTATTTTCGTGTACCCTAACATACAAAGAATCAGATCCCCCTTAATTGGTGGTTTGGATTGGGGCTTTGGTGGTCAAGGGGGGGTTTCCCATTTACCCTCTACAAAAGCCAGGGGTTCGAATCCCCAAACCATCAATCCAAACCACCAACCGTCCAACAGTTTCATCCGTGCGAATCGGCCTCGCCAAAGCGGTGCATTTTACGGACACCGCCCCTTATTTCTTGGCCCACAGTTGGGGTACACAGAAAATAACATCATGTATTCAGGTTCTGCCTCAGAATTCGTCTAGCCTAAAACATGACATGGTCTTGGAGGAGACCTCTTCTTTCTTTTTTGCCGCTCACCACGCCATTTGGGAGGTGTTTGACAGCGGCAAGTGCTTGATTTCGCCTTCGCGTCGCCTGGGGTGCCGATCAGGGCCGATTTAGCCTTGGGGTCGATAGACCCTCAAACGAGGGGTTTGGGGGATACCACCTGGGCTATTTGGCAATGGGTCAAAAGCCGGTACCCCCAGTGAACATCCCAATCCCCACTAAAATAGACTAAAATGGGTGGTGAAGCTACCCCAAAATGGTACCATTGATTTTGACCCACAGCCATTTGTCGGAAAGCCAAATCAAGCATTGATGCGGTTAGTGGAGTTAAGGGGCACCTTTTTGCACACAAGAAAGACGTAACTTGCACTCATGGTTGTTGAAAGTGCAGGAGCCACACATTTTTGAGTTTGCACCTGCAATGATACTCGCCGACTCTGTGGGCAATCAATCTGGGGGGTTGAGAATGCACCTACGCAGGTGTTCGGCCAAATTGGTTTGTTGGTAGCCTAGGTTGTAACTTATATAACCCACTTTCGAGTCCCCCTAAGTGGGGTTAACCCTGTTCTGGGGGGTTTATAACCGAGGAGGCTCCAACCTGCCCGAGCATCCAAGCAGGGGCTTCCGTAAATGAAACCACTTGTGGGCTGGTTCAGCCTGGGGTCATTCGAATCCATTCCCTGACTATCAATCCACTAAAACAGGCAGCGCAAAAAGGTGCCGCGCTACTTGCCGCCGCGCTACGTTCGGCACATTGTGGTCGCCCAAGTGGACGATACTCGAACCCACCCAGCCTCGAACTCTCGTGAATTTTCAGAAGGAACCAGCTCAAAAGTGGTTCTTGGGCATAAATCATCACCTAAATGGTGTTTACCAAAGGGTCCTCTACTAAAAATCAGACCCACAAAGTGGTCAAAGGTCCGAGGGTGTAGCTTCTAAGCTCGGTGTTCTCCCCCCAAACATGTGGACCCTTTCTGGGCACCCGGGGCAGGGAGATCCGCAAACACCCAGCAATGCTCCACTCGTAACAGGCAACCACCTCGTGGGTCGCCTCGTGGAATCACATCCTAGGTCCTCCAGATTTGAGAGGTTAGCATAAGGGTACCGTTTCTTTTTCTTTTTTGTCTATCTTAGTAGGGGAACCCTCCCAACCAAACAAGGGGGAGAGAAGGGCACTACTGGGGGGACCTAACATCTTAACCCTGCAATACTCAAACAGGAGGCACCCTGGAAAAAACAACGCAACTCGGGCACCTTCACACATTTGTTTGCCTGCCCGATTTGCTTCGGCGTATGATGTCATGCTGGTGTCGCAGAGCCT